TCCTTCAGCGCAGAGACCGACCACTTGTAGTCAATGGCAATGCGACCCACAGTGACGGCCGCCCGACCAAAACGCACGGCTCCCACGTTTCGCACGTCCCTATCGTTCAGACAGTCATTTCAATCATTTCAATCATGTCATCCCTTATGGCTATTACTCTATCATTCATTCAGTGACTAACCAATGGTTTTGATGCAAAACGTGGACAGAAGTGCCGCCGACGCCCACAAGTGCCACATATTTGGCGATTCGCAGGAATGACATCTCAAACCACGTGTCGTACAACTGATCACTCTTTCAATCTAATTATAATTCAATTCATATTATTTAATACATAATTCGGTTCATAAGAGAGACATTGAGTTGTGTTTAAACTGTAAACGAAACACAAATTCATTCAAACATTGCTTTAAAACGAGTTTGAAATGAGTTTTATTTGCATTACTGTTACGCAAACGTAAACACATTTTTGTAAACTACGAGTCGTTCGCATATCACGTAACCAATTGGGGGGCACTTTCTTGTTATATTGTGCACATTATTATGCAATGCATATACTGTACCGTATTTTGAATGCAAGGCAACCAAATGTACTCAAAAAGTAATACAACTGTAACTGTAATGTATTGTATAAATACTCAGGTATTTGAATAAATATGTTAACACTTACGTGATATATATCGACACTTAACTTGTTTTACATTCAATTGTCGAGTATTTGATGTACAGTACTGTCAGTGCAGTCAAAGTTGGCTTCCAATGAGTTTTGTAAGTGGTTTGAAATGCGGTCACGTGTTTGTAGTGACTGTTGTTTTGACACTTCTTTTAGTGATGTTTGGTTTGAATGTGAGACAAATGTCTTCAGCCGTAAGCTATGTTTCACTTGATTTCCAGGTCTTCGGCAGAGTTCAAGGTTTGTCTCATCCATACATGCATTGCCAAAGCATTCACTCATGTCTTGTCTTTACTCTCATTTTCAGGTGTTTTCTTCCGAAAGGTTTGCATTGAAGCTGTGATTCAGTCAATGCATTGACTGTTAGAATACATGACTAGAATTTAATTTAATTTGCATTCTTTAATAAATAAGTTTACGAAACGAAAAGCCGATGAATTGGGTGTTTATGGCTATTGTATGAATGCCAGGGACGGCACTGTTGTCGGAACCATACAGGCATCACATCAACTCATTCAGCAAATGTTACCCAAATTATATTTACAATTCTCTCTCTCTCTCTCTCTCTCTCTCTCTCTCTCACGCACTCACTATTTGATAACATGTAATGAGAAATGAAATATATTTGTATATTAGGAAGGATTGGTTGCAAAATACTGGAAGTCCTTACAGTCGTATCGAAAGGTGTGAATTCACTAATGAAAGGATTATCTCTGAGTTGGAGTACAATAAGTTTGAAGTCAGACATTGAATACTTGTATTAATATTTATTAACTCTTATTCTACGAAATTACATAATATGTATATCAAGTGTTTTGTTTAAAATTAATTGTAGCATATTTTTAATAAAACATATGTTGTTTAAATGCTAATTTGATTTAATATTTGTTTTGTTAGTTAATGTTTGAAACACATGTTTAAAGTTGAATACCGGTTATTTACAAAACACACTTATATTGATGTAATCTCTAATTAAAGTTTGATACGAATGTTGCTTCAGTGTTGAGGACAACTCCAATCCATTTAACGATCACTTTGTGATTCTGTTTTTGTATACAATTTTGATTTCTAACTGATTTACAAATGAGACACATATTTGTTGATGAAAAACAAATTTAGTGATTACCAGATATGGTGTGATTCACATCTAAAACGATGGCTAGAATTACACTCGAGAATAACTCGTACTATAATATACTTTCCATGATTTGCTTCAAAATCTGATTTCTGTGCTTTATATACAGAATTATATGGTGTAACATGAAAAATGTAATAGCTAGATGATTATTTTTAGACATAATGGATTAAAGTGCCTAAAATATAATAATTGTAATGTTTGTAAATATATTGCAAATACTGTATATATTAATCTCTATATTTAGAAGAATTAATAGAAAAGAGATGAATGGCTAATAAAAGTGATCAGAATTTTCTATTCAATGCATTTCTATTTATGCCTTAATTTTGGACACAAAGAGAGTTAGGCTTTAATTTGCAATGACTGTACTTATAGTTATTTTAACTCTACTTTTGTAAACATTTGTTATAATATTGAATAAAAGAGATTTTGTCGACAAAAAGTGCTTTATTTTAAGGTTTCGCGTGTTTTTATGACTAATACCCAAAATCTGCAGAAGTCTTATAACTTGCGTCCCTCTTCTCCATTCATTGTCCTATTATTGGCTTTAGATTCACAAGATTTTTATTATTAGCTGAGAATATAATATAACTATACAATTAAATGTATGGCATATTATATACTAAACAATTTTTTGAATCACTATTAATTCGCAATTTATTCAAACGTTTCCGCACTTAATGACAATTGAAGACATTTTTATGTTTTCTTCAATCATAAAATCCAAATATAAGTGAAGCTAAATATATTAAATTATTATTTGTTTTCTCCAATATATTTGGTTTATTATATAAATGTTATATAATATATCAAAATTATATATTATAAAAACTGGTTACTGTATTATAAAATTCTGGATATTCTTTAAACTTATACAACATTGAAATATTATGGTATAAGCTTTTACTTGCATTCATCAAAGCAATCGTTTGGTCTTTTTGTATTATTTTGGTGCTTAAAACTCTATTTCTATAAATGCTTAATACTGTATGCGTTTCGCTATATTTTTCTCCATTCATTGCCTTTTTTGCTCATTTTTTGTTGTATTTCTCAATATCTATACAAAAAACACAATTCTCTTATAGTTTGTAAATCTAATCAATTGAATCACTTTTATAATGTAAATGTGCAGATGTTTTGCACTGTTTTCCCGATATATACAATACAAATCAAGAGTCTCCCCATACTATTCTCTCTCACTCTCTCTCCCTCTCTGGTGTATTGTGAACCACTTTATTATACCATTTTCACAGAGCCTTTGGTGCATATAATCTTTAGATATTATATTAAAGCTCAACCAATACTACCGGCGAACCCAAGGATTTGGTTATTATGGCAATGGTTTTACAGTTTTAAGGTTTTAGGAATTAGCATTAGTATTAGCACAGGAATAGTAGTATAGCCTAATATCTACGGATTTATTGTATGACAACGTTGTGGCCCAAAGGCACCGATTTGTGCGGTTAGAGTGTATTTCAGTGACACTATAGTCTGAGAATCGGATTCAATTCAATCTACAGTCAATTTTCAGTCATATTTAATACGTTTTTCACTTTTCTATTTATTGATTATCAGATAATCAAATGAACAAATAATTTTCCAATTAATTATAAATTTAATATAGAGTTGTTAAAATATTTCTATATACTGTGTACGATTTTTTAAAAATAACTAACAAATTTATTACTAATAACTCAAAATATAATTTAGTTTAAACAATTTATTAACTTGGTAAGTTGTCTATACATTATTTAAACATTATAAAATCTAACTCTTTTTAATTAGATACATAATTAAATATTCGACCACAAAATGGTTAACAATTCTCTCTCTCTCTCTCTCTCTCTCTCTCTCTCTCTCACGCACTCACTATTTGATAACATGTAATGAGAAATGAAATATATTTGTATATTAGGAAGGATTGGTTGCAAAATACTGGAAGTCCTTACA